CCTCAACGTTTGCAAGGAATTGTTTTTGTGCATCAAAAGCTGTCCCTGTTCCGAGTATATCTGTTCTCGTTTGAGATTGTGAACCAAGGATAGCCCAGCAATATGTTCTTATAGATTCGTTAATCCGTTCAACACCTGCTCTTGTAAAGCCTTTTGACGTATCAAGAACAAATGTGGTCCACACATCTTTAACATCATCTGCTTGTTGAAGGTAATCAATGTGAACTTTTTTAGGTGGAAGATATTCACATGATGAAATACCACAGTGTCTTCCGCCTGGAACTTCTGGTCCGAATGTCATTTTAGAAAAATCTAAATCAGATGCTGTACTACTTGCAATGTGTCGGGACGAATTATTGTGTCTAAAATCTGTTCTTTTCCAAGCTGTATGACTTGTTGTGTAAATGACTCCAAGACCAGCGCCTCGCCAGTCTGCATGAGGGTCTGCATTAAACTCTTTACATATTCGTTCGTAAGCACCACGGTCATTACTGTTGTTGAAGGCATTCCAGCTTTTATCTTGCGGTAGAGCAATAGCTAATTCAAACAGTATTCTTCTTGTTTGATAGTAAACATGAAATATGAATAGCGAGCCAGTCAACCCTCCTGCTTTTAAATGGTTGTTAACATCTATACCACAACCTGTAGTGGCACACCATATTGCAAAATTTAGTTGGTTTTGCCAGAACGATAACGAGTCTGTATTCCATCTATTAACTATTTCATTTGATGATATTTTTGGTAATACATAATTTTCAAATATATTTGTGAAATCCACATTAAAACTTTTCTTATCTGATGAAATAATAATAGATTGTTTTATTATATCTATAGGTTTTTTAAGATATATTCCTCCTGTATTATAAACTACTTCTTTGTTATATTTGAAAGTATGTGCTGTCATTTTTATTTATTAAAAAATGTATCATACAATTTCTAATATTAATAAGACAATACAATTACAACAATATATAGATAACAAATGCTGTAATAAGAGAATTGGATTGCATAGTTTTACATATACTATGGGTTGGTATAATTTGGTTGATGAATATATCCGAAATTGTAATAAGATTACAAATGGTTATTATAGTTTCCAACAAATAGCAGATATATTTGAAAGTAATAATATTACATTATCTGTAAATGAAACAAATGGTATTGCTTCTTTAATTACTCCAGATGAATTGAGAATAAGTAAAGGTTTAAGACTGATATTAGGGTTTAGAAATAAGAGAATATCCAGCGCTAATGAAACACACTATGGTAAAAGAACAATAGATTTTGCACCTAATAAACAACTATATGTTCATCTTGAGCAGATAAATAGCGCTTACAATTTCTTTGATGGTGCTCCTAGTAATATTCTTGGTGTTGTTTCTGTTGAGAATAAATCGTTTGGTGATATTGTTTATACGCATTTTAGTAATACACAATATAAACAATTGGCACATGGTGATATTTCAGAATTAAGTATAAGCGTTTGTGATGAGAACGGTCAAAAAATAAACAACAATGGATTGCCAATTAGTTGTATGTTAGAGATTATATAATATTTAAAATATATATATATAAATGAAGCAACCTACAGCGCCGAATTTATATCCAGAGTTGCCTAGTGAAGACGGGCAGAATTATAGATTACAGAAGATATCGGAGATTGAGAAAACATTAATTAATGAGAGGGATACTCGTAAATCATTATACAAGAAATATAAACGCGGAATTAATATTACTGATGGTGTTGATACAACTCTCATTTCTGGGAGTGTGGTTATGGGTGGCATTGGAATCGTAGTACCGTTTATGTTGCCATTAGAAATTGTGGCAGCAGTTTGTGGTGTAGCGGGAGTATGCGTAAAGTTTATTAGAAGAAGACTGCATTCAAAAGCAAAGAAGCATGATGAGATTAAAACTATTGCTGATAGTAAATTGAATAGTATAAAAGACTAAATTTCTAAGGCTTTAACAGATGGGCAGATATCTGAAAATGAATTTAAATTGATTTTAGATGAATTAGATAAATATAATAAATTGAAAGATAGCATACGTTCAAAACAAACAGGATTGACTGAGACAGAGAGAAAAAACTTATTGAGGAAGGCAAGGCCCAGGCTTTAACCGAGTTAAAAAATAAAAAATGCTTGATTTTATTCAATAAAGTTACAATAATTAATGATCCACCGCCAAGATATGAAAGTTAATTTTTTATTAAGGGAGATTACCTGCGCTCGATGTTTATGTTAACTCAATATGTGGTTTTGCACCTTCTCATAGAATATCAATTTTATCTGCATGTACAGTTATTAAAAGTACATTCTTCACGCGTGATAGTTGCACTTTTATGACAGCGATTGATCGATTTAATCTATTCAAAACTCACACTTCAATAACTATAGTGGTGTTTAAATACCGACTTACTTATCAAATCAATACATGATTATATTAAAATGCGCGGGAGAAGTTTCACCTGTGAAATTTTCCCCGCCAAATGACATCAATTTATTAATCATAATCATAACATTAATTGTGCATAGGTTTATCTAAAAATACACAGGTAATTAAAAATAACTCTTAATCACACTCTAGAATGTTCATTAGACACATATAAAACCATATTTGTGAATAGTCATCTATGTCTTTTTTTCGTGGTTGTCAGATTTGATCGTTACGCTATTAATTTAAGTAATGGCTGAAAAATTAAAATCCGCAGCGAAGTTTAGCGAAGATGCTTTGAATATCGCGTTCAATACCTTACCTCAGGAGTTTTTTTACTTTTATAAAAGTGGGTGTCCTATAGCGGTTTTTAAAAAACCCGCATTGTCCTATAACTGTTTTTAGTGTTTTTAGTTTTTTTCATTTTCTATTACCTTCATTTTTTTTTATTTTTCTACCATTTTATTAATCTTGTGTCAGTACTTCCTTACCATCATTTTTTATTTTTTCAGGGAGGGGGGGGGGAGAGGTTAAATTTTTTTAGGTGAGGGAGAAGCTCAATAAACCATATTACTACTTTATTCAAACATTATAGCCTTAATTTGCACTTAATTTAGGTACACTGTTGCGACTGTGATAAACATATAGAGAATATTCAAGTTTCTTATATAAATACAGAAGTTATTTTTCATCGAGTTATATGAAAATAAATATTTCACTAGTGGCAGTAGCCACGAGTGAAATATGATAATTTTCATACAACAAGATGAAAATAATAGAAAGAATGTAATGTTTCTGTTAATAATATACTTTTTCTCCTTTTTTAAACTTATTCATATGAATGATTTCCTTTCAATTTTGTGTATTGGCTGACTTTGGAAGAAAGTAGTCTGGCAAGATACCAGACGAGTGTTGAGAACATTAAAGTAGGACTATTTTGAAAATGGTTATGATAAATGGGTCGCCCGACACCGACAGTGGATCGAAAAACACGGAGAATACTTTGAAAAACATGTTTTTAAATCTTGTAACGTCATGACGTTTATGACGGCGTGCGCCGGGTATGTATAGGTAGCATTCTTTAAATTTTAATAACTTGGTCATTTTTGGAGGTATTTTGATTTTATTTCGCATAGACACACATAAAAGGTGTATTGACTTTTCCCTGGCTTGACGACTCTATTGTTTTATAATTGATTGAGTAACAGACTTTGTCTACGATATTTTGGGACAACCCTCGTACATATATAATATTTCATTAAGTGTGGTTACAACATTAATTACAACATACAGAATCTTTAAAAATATATTTCTTGCCATGCTAGATGTATTAAATTATCCTGTGTTACTGGGAATCGTTCAGTGACGGCGCTTTCTCTCTCTTATCATATTTTTTTATTGATATGTTGAGTAGCTGGCAGTGCAGCTTCGGCGCAAGGTATGTATTTGAAGACGTCATTAAATATATCAACGATGCGCAAAATAGTTGATTTTGAAGAAACTGCTTTCATGTGTAGAAAAATATACTACTTTGCATATTTTATATCGCAAAAACAACAAACAAACAAAAAACAAAAAATAACAACAAACAAAAAAAAACAACCCCCCCCCAGAAAATGTGAGTTTTGTTAGTATTGCCGTGTACTAAAAAGTTTTCCGGGTTCTATTGAGTAGCTTTCGAGAGAGTGTCGTATATACCTTATATATGACTATGTAGCAAATTATGTACACTAAGTCTAAAAATCACCCAAGTAATAATAATAATAATAATAATAATAATAATAATAATAATAATAATAATAATAAATAATAATAAATAATAATAATAATAATAATAAAAATAATAATAATAATAATAATAATAATAATAATAATAATAATAATGATAATAATAATAATAATAATAATAATAATAATAATAATAATAATAATAATAATAATAATGATAATAATAATAATAATAATAATAATAATAATAATAATAATTAGAAGAATAAGAAACATAATCATAATAATGATCCGGCTGGATCCTCGGTCGAGACGTACTTTGCCATGACAATTGATCTGTACATTGAGTGTTATGGTAATTTATCTGACATGGCAGATTAGAAAGTCAGTAACTTTTATGTAAATTGGCAAATATCTGGTTAGTTACCTGGTTAGATATTCGCTTAGGTGTTTGGCCTGCCGAGACATTACCAAAACGAGATGGTAATAAAATATTTTACATCGCTACTAGTTTTAAGCTGTTTTGAGAACTATTTTGTGTTGTATGTTTCGTTGTTAAGCTATGTTCTAGATATTGAATGTCAGCATTGTATTTCTTGATCTGTGATCAGAAAATACAAAATAAACGATATTATAAAATGAACAAACACACTAATTAACTATCGTCAGGGATATTTTGTAATGTTGCAACTTGGACGACGCAATATCCTATGATGATAAATGCATTTCGTAATATATGTGTGCACTTTAACTAAGCAACAACCAACCTAATTTGCTGTAATACATATAACGTAATGATTTAAAATGATTACGTTAAAAGACAACAACGTAAAAAGTAACAAGAATAGTTTATTACAAAAGAAAATAGCTAAGCATGATTTTTATGTGCAAGGTTTGGTCTATAACACTAAACAGTACACTAACGTTTGCTCAACAGTTGAAATCATAGCCTACTAGCGGTAACTGATTCTTCCTATACGATCAGTGCAGACCAAGATCAGCAAGCACGTCTGCTCCAACTAATTATGATCCCAGTACTGTCGGCTTTTCCGTAGGTACAAATTTTAATTCTTCCGCCAAACCTAAACATGACGAATGGTTTTGCCAAGATTAAAAGATGAATGCGTTCAATAAACGTTAAGTGGGGGGGGGGGGGGGGTAAATAATAGATGAATAATTACAGCAAACCATGGATGCAAAGTCTAGCTGGATAACTCAGACTGTTTATAGTATGAAGATAAAAACTACAATGACATTTCACGTCACGTCGTTACGTAGTTTACACGTGGTATGCGTGGTTTACACGTGGTATGGGAACTGTTACGTAAAAATACATGTACTTACCAGTCTTACCGCATAACAAAATTAGCATTTGAAATTAAAATTGATTTTGGTATATTTAACCTTATTTGTGAAGAAGCGGCACTTATTAATAAATCAACATATAGTATTTTCCGGCGCAAATCACATAACATTCGGGCAAACTTAAATTAATTAAATTTGGAATATACACTTCATTCTTTCTTTTGATTAATAATTATGTTATTGATTTATAATTATCACATATGACATTTTTTTTACTCGGGCACCATATATTGTTAATAGAAAACCATTGTTTTTTCTCAAACTGCGCCACTGTCGTCAGAGAAAAACCATGGCAGATTAACCTACTAGAAAACAGTTCCCACCTTGTGGTTGAAAGAAAACAATCTATTCTCAAACTGTGTATCTGAAAAGATGCTACATTACAGATTTCAAATTTGTGAAAATGCATATTAAGGCGAACAATGCGAAGCTATTTCTGGAAGCCCCGCCCATCACAAGCGGATCGTCATCGGACCATGTTCTGCACTCCTCCCATGCGAGTTCCGCGTTGCACGAGTCTAGCCGGTAAAAGTAGTCCATGATCGCAAGTTTTGTTTCAGGGTCTTCAGTATTCATTGAGTTCTTTAAATTCCTGAGATGAACCCCCTGAAAACATGGCTCTTGGAAAATCTCACGAACGACGTCGATACACCCTTCCTTACAATGTCCTGGCTCACAATGTGTATACAGCGCGGCGTTTCTTCTCATGGTGTCTGGGTGTCTAAAATGATATTTGTATAAACAATGCATTTATTTATCTTGTAGGGTTCTAAAATAGTCGGGAGCATTCTTAAATTTACCAATCTAACTTTTAACCACTTTCCCAAATACCTTTTTCTGTAATCTAAATTGGTCTATTATTTTCTATCGAATGTCGAGTTACGAGTAACCTTGTCTTTTTCGAATTTGGTTTTATTTTTTATATAATTATTAAAGAATACACTCCTTGCAAACATTCGCAAATTAATAGAAAAACCTTTTAAACATTTCTGAAAGTCTTGAGGGATTCGCACAAAAATAATGTTATATATAGGTTATAGGTCATATACAGAGTTTTAAGGAATTAATTTTCGAGACAAACTTTGGCGAAGTATGCAACAGGGTATGCTTTAGTGCTAGCTCCCTTATGATCTAAAAATGACACCACTCTACCACGTAACTACACATGACATTTAAGTAGCGCATAACATTTGACCCTTATAATGCCATTAAAGCAAGAAAATTACTGTATACTTTTATGGAGAAAGTTTAATAAAGTTAAGATAAAAAATAATGTTGCATCCTCAAAAGTACATACATGTAGGTATTTGTAAAGCAGTTATATAATTTCTATGTCGCTATGGAAAGTGTCTGCAAAATAAACAACTGTTAAATAAAATTGATATAGGAACACCGACTATATTTTCTGAATTGATTTTAAATTTTATTTTTAATATAATATTTATTCAAATATGATATGGCAGCATGTGCAATCTTGATAACGTTAACTCTCTTTTTTGCTGCAGGAGATTATAATTTTACATGTATTGTTATCACGTTTTCAATATTAATGCCAGAAACACTGCCATTTATTGTTAAAGAATTTGTGATGGGCACATTAAAAAATCGGATGTACTATGACTGATACATCAATCAGTTTTTGTATGGTTTTTGTTTTTAAGTTATTAATTTAAACATGTATCTGTGGATTCATTGTATATGTATATTAAAAGATGACAGGTAATGTTTTTTAATCCTTCTGGTCGATTTCCCTGCCATTCCTCCATAAAAGAACATTAAAATCACAAAGTTTTAAACACAACACGTTTTTCTTGCATGTCAGACTGGCGTTTCCGTTAGATTTACCCATGCCGGAAATTTCACCTGGCATGGGGTTGCCAGATGAGTCGCGTGCTGTAAATGGCACGCTTAGGATAACGTCATTTTACCGTTATAAATGAAGTTGTAATTTCATACGCTGTTGAAAGAAAGTAGTTTTGGTTGTAATGATATAAATTTCCTTTGAAAATAAAGATAAATTTAGAATATAATGAATATAATGGAATATGGTAGAATATGCAAGAATAAATATCTGACATATGTCTGCGGTTCGGATCGGAATATCCGTTCTTCGGTAATCCGCGCATGGGCGGTAACTCGGAAAGCCTTATTACCGGCCAATGGGCGGGTCACCTCGGGACGGATATTCCGGAGCACGATCAACCGCAACATATGACAGATATTATTATTCTATCATCATTGCCATAAAACAGCTACATTAAGCACGCGAAATACGAGAAGCGTTACAAAATAATAAACATGCATGCACATTATGTAAATAAGCGGAGTATATTAAATAGGCTCATTAAACGTATAAATTTTATACATACAGTTGAATTACAGCACTGTATGGAAAATACTTCGGCAAAATTTAAACAAAATAGAGCTATTTCATTGTCAGACAAATTTTGACGAACTGTAACGTCTGCTAAGGGGTAAAATTGCGCGTACAAGTACCCATTCATATTAAATAAGCTAAAATTATTTAGATACAGGGACAATAAAAATTAGGACAATATTCAAATTTCCGGCGAATAAGAATTTGACAAAATATTAACTCTTCATCATGACGTTCAATGATGGTCATATTAACAATAGTTCTGTTATTTTTCTCCATCTTTGTTCTATTCTAGCGAAAAGTAAGCCAAATCTGACTTTTACTTTTACTCTCTGTTCTCAGGTACTCAATCGAGTTCATTTTTCTTGTTACAGAGGACTGTTCCATTTATTTACGATTAACATTTATTAAAACATGGCGAAAAATATCGGATTTACAATATTTACGAAATATTATGTTGTAGTAGCTTCCTGAGGCTTTGTATTTTGCTACGACCATAGGTGAAAAATTGAATCAATTTTCCTACGTTGCAAGTAAAAAATACATAGCCTAAGAAAGCCTTTACAACATAACTTTTCTTTTATTATATACCTTTTCGTTTTATTCATAAAATGAAATGTAGTTGTCAACGAAATAAATCATGACTGACGGGTGAATACGTAATTCATGCAAGATCGGCCACGCCTTTAATAATTTGGGTTTCCGTTTCCAAATGCAACGTTATACAAAGCTAAGATCGGAGATTTCTATCCGTTAAAGCGTATTTGCGTGCTATTAAGGATAAATTTTATAGGTATATAATAATACATTAATATACGCTAATCATTCGACCATTTAATTAAGAAATAAAATTTCGCAGTGAATTTATCAAAATAAAGATATAGTTGCTCTGTTATTTGTTTTTTATATAAGAATTTATCAATGCTTTTACTGAGACAGTTAAGATAAAGCCTTCAAAAGGAGGTTTTTTATATGTCTGTGTCCAGATTTCAGATTAAAATTTTGATGCAGTAAAATTATTTTATACTCTAACTTTGTCATTTCTTAAGGTATCAACTTAACTTCAAATATTTGTTTCTTATCATCAACCACATTTTATGTGACAAAGTTCATAACTCTAGCACAAATATTTTCAGATTTATCTCCCCTTGAACTTAGAATTTTCCTTAAAAAATGTTATTGTTTACTGTTACTTATTTATTTCTTAAGGGATCACTTTCATAATTCAAATATATGTACATTATCATTAATCACATGTTATGTGACAAGGTTCATAACTTTAGCACGAAAATTGCAAGAATTATCTCCCCATAAACTAACTTGTTTTCCTTGAAAAAATGTCATTTTTTACTATAACTTATTTAGTTTTAAAGGTATCAAACTTCAAATACTTATTCCTTAACATCAAATTTTATTCGACAAGGCTCATAACTCTTGAATCAATATTTACAGATTTATCTCTCTTTGAACTTAGGATTGCCTTTAAGAAATCTGATAACTTCTTTACTTTTAAGGTATCTACTTCAATCTTCAAATATATATTTATTTATCATTAGACACATGTTGTGTGACAAGGTTCATAACTCTAGCGTGACTTTTTTCCAGAATTATGCCCCTTGATCTTGGAATCTATGTTAACTATGTTCATTTTTACTATACAATGTAACTTAATACATAATTATACATAATTGATTTTTCGTTCATAGTTTTGTCTTCCTTACAGCGTCCAGTATTTAATTAGTCGAGCCTTGCTGTCTCCTGTGACAGCTCTTGTTACTACTGTCCATTATCTCTTTCGGGGATATCGAGATGAAAAGCGAAAATTGGTATAAAGACTGCCCATATTTATATGCATTATATAGCAGCATTGTTCTTGATTCTTATAACTTTTATATTTGTGGATAGATTTTTCACGTTTTTTTTAATCATTTGAAAGTCCTTTATATTTATATTTTCGGAATATTTCTGTTACGAGCCAAGCGTTACGAGAAAGAAAAACCAGCAACAAACTTGTAACAATAACAAATTTATTACTGAAAAATTATTCAAGAAAAATTAAAATAATTTATGTTAACAAATACCTGAAGTCCAAATTAAGATATAAATGTCTAGTCTGATCCTGGATTGATCCCTTTTTGAATTGCACAGTTAAATCCAAGTAAAATCCAAGAACACTTTAGAATAAATTCCCACAATAAAATCCACAAGAATAATTTCAACTATTTTAAAATAATCCAAGCTCCAATAAATCGCTTAATACCCAAGTTGAAAAATACTCCAAATATATTGATGACTTAAACGGTAACTGATGACTTAAAAGATAATAGTAATAGAAAATGTCCCTTTATATATATTAACTAAGAAAATTCCCGAAAAGTCTATTATGTTCTACAGTAATCATAATCTAGCAACTTCAACAATACAGAACATTCCAGGAGTTTCTATCTAAATATAATGCATGAATCATAATCTAGAATTGTCTACAACAGGTAGGAAACTTCTGGTTGACATGTAATAGAAAGAGCACCGAAACACGAGGCTATCTGATTTGTACGAGGGGGCGTAGCCCCCGAGTATTAATCAGATTGCCGAGTGTATTGGTGTTCTTTCTCTTTTGTATCACAGTCAAACATAAAAGCACGTTCCCTGTTGTCACAATATGAAACCCCGGCAAAAATGAACCAATGAACGAACATCTGAATATGACATTTCTGTCGCTTTCCCTTTCTCTGCCGTCACAATATGTAAACCCCAGCAAAAATGAGCCAATCAATGGGCATGCTCTGGAGTGCGGGTAACTAATACCCGCACTCCAGTTAACGCACTGTGCATGTATATGTATACGATTTAACCCTGACACATTTTCAACATAAAGGTCTCCAAACTATGATACAAGCATGTAGTTAATGTTCTAAAAATAGAACAATGATAATATTGGAAATACCAACTGGTCAGATATAAATTACATACATGTAATATGTTGCATACATAACAAAAAGCAGATTATATATATATATATATATATATTTTTTTTTTTTTTTTTTTTTTGCTTTTCAAAGAAATTCGGCTATTTTTCACTGTTGTTTCAACAGTTTCTAGCACCAATTTGATCATTTTAACAAGAAAATATGAAACAGTTTTGAAAATGTATTTTATAATGTGCAAAAAATGAGTTTACAGACGTTTCTATTCGGCAATTTCATGAAAAACAAGTTTGTAATCATAAATATAAAGTTTCTATATTTTGCATTTTATCAGCCACCGTATTTTTTTTGTCAACCATCCAAGAGTTTTTACCTGTAAGTATTATCAGCAATTTGTTACTATTGATGGATTTCATAACAATTACATGCAACGTTTCTAAAATCCCATCATTTCCGGAGATAGCAATACACGAATGATATGATAATATTAGATGATACTTATGGATGATAATTCGGCCTAGAAAAAACATGATAATTACAAGATTACACCTGGCGAAATACTTACGACTGGTTCCCCAAAGATTCGTAATCGCAATCGTCTTCGCATGCTTCGATTTCCCCGTGTGAAATGCAATCTGTAAAAGAAAGTCAATGTCATATGAAATGAAAATCTATTTTACAATAACAATGGCGTTTGTTTTGACCTTATTCCGTAGCTTTTCTTTCCAATTTAAAGGACCGACATTTTGTGTAAATGAGAAACTATATTTCCACCTCTTTAAAGAAAACTTTTATAATTTGATACATTTATAAATTCGTTAAAAAGAGCATTATGATAGCTTTGTATCTGAAATACTTTCTCACGTCTGAGAAAAAACAATTGTAACATGTATGGCACACAAACCCTGTCAATGAAAGGGTAGCTCACTAACGAGAGTGGTTTCGGTATACTTTCCTATATGTTACTTCACCATTAATTGTAATGCTCATTATGAGACGTTCTACCGACGTCGTTACACAAACTCAAGACCGGATAAACCTTTACACAAAACAAAAGCTAGGTCCTGAGAAAAGGTTAAGACAACAAAAATGTTTTTTACCCTTTCCCTGCTCCCAGTTGTTCGCCGGGTAATACATGATGACGGTGAAACACATCTCTTCAGAAGTAGAATCCCCGTAGCGAGTTGTCTCCCCTCTCAATGATGAATCATAATGACATTTTACCTCGAGGCTATAACCTGGTTCCATCACCAATGGGCGCTCGAAACTAAAAATGTAGAGAATAAAATATACATTGTATTGTCAATTCCTACCGTCGAAAAAATAGAGGAAAAAAGGTAAAAAAACGACTACAACGGCAACATTGAAAATGTTGCAAGCTCGGTTTGATTGAGTCTGTCCTTTGACGATACTGGAAAGTTCAAGCTACCGTCCACGCTCCCTCCCAGGACCGGTTAATGAAAAATTCAACGTTCACTTCCAAGTTATAAATTTTCGTTGATGAATTAAGATCCATAGGGAGTAGAGTATTTTGTTTCATTTTTTTAAGATCAATTTAGTATTTTAAAATGATCATTGATAAAAACAACTAACATAATCAAATTAGAAAATTATGAACAGTTAAGAAGCGAAAGAAATATTACTTACACGACAAACTTTGGGGAATTATAGTCGTAGCTTTCCTCATGTGAGATGATAGTAACTTTCCCGTCTCCAGACACCATGTTTGAAGTGACCGCAGTACCTATAAACAGGAAAATACTGCGTTATTATCTTTAAAGATGTGGTGGCCTAAAAATACTAAGGAGGGGCGGCTCGAGAAGTTGTAAGGACTGCCTTCCACTGACTGCCAACATCCCCTGAACCAGGCTTTACTATAACGGAAACATATTTGCGCAGTGTACATCTGGTTTAATTCTGTCATTTTTTCCTGAACTAAATATGTTTATTTTTTTGTCATGGAAAGAAAAGTTTTCTAAAAACTTTGTCTTGCACATGGATCCATATATTATTAACAGCAAACTATAATATTAGGCTGTAAAAATATCGAAATTAAATGTCTGCAAATTGCCATAGATTACTAGCTTGAGATAAAAAAGAAAATAAAATTGACCGATATCCATAAGGATAAGGCGTTCGCCTCTTTGCTTGAGCCCCACTCTTGCCAAATTTCTCATATGATACCGGTAATTGGACATGAAAGTTATTACTACAAGTGAAAAGAAGTGGTTCATTTAAACTTAAGTATATTAAATTATTCTACAGTAAGAACCTTCTATTGAGAACACCAACGGAACAGGATAAAAGTGTTTAAATTGAGGGATTGTCTTATTTTTGGATATTATTATCATAGCTTATTTTGTTTTATGACATATAGGACAGAAATTTTCAGGTTTTGTTTTTAATTGGCCTTTTAATAGCGGACGGATTGAATTAAGTGGCGGTCTTAAGTAAGGGTTTTACTTCAATTCCATATACTCGTATGTTTTAACTATGCATGCGATGAATAAAAAGAATTGTAGATTTACCGATCCCATGCATATGATTCATAGCTCCGACGATATTGATATTGCCTGACATAAACCTTTCCGTGCATTTAGAGCTACACGTGCCCTTCTCGGTGTGGCGGGCCGTGTATGGCGGTATATTCAGCTCCAGTTGTCCAATCGTAAGCATACCGGCATCGTTAGACCTTAAATTTGGTGTGAGGAAAAGTGTTATTCCTGAGCTGTCAACGAATGTGCTCTTCTCCTCTACGTTATTCCAGTGTAGCTAAAATATAGATAAACATATAATCAAGAATGTTTTCGGCTTGGCGGGTATTACTTACCTTCATTATTAGGACACACACCAATCTCATATTCTCGACCCATTCCGTCAAATTTCGAATTATGAATTAAAACAGAGTCCCGATTGGACAAACACGTTTATATTAAGTTGTCTCACATTGCAACGTTTTACGAATTATCATGGGTCCACTGGCTGAAAGATGAGCGTTCTGTAAGTCAGGTTCGCACCACCTCAAGCTTTGAGGTTGAAATGTGTATCTTTGTTGGAAGTCGTAAAGTAGACTTTAAGTCTTTAGTAAAACAGGACACAAACCGAAATCAATGGCGGTGATCGCTGTCAGTTTGATTAAGGTTCTTGAATAACATTTTGTATGATTAATAGTTTTTATGCAATGGTCCTTTACAGAAAGCTGAACCAGCGGAGTTTCTTAATCTAATCGGGGCAACAAATATGCAAGAAATACAAGTATTTATTATTCAAGAAGTTATTTTAGTAATGCGCCTCCGCAGAATTGCCCTGAACCAAATTCAATGTTATTTTGACCTTTCGTGACAACTGTCTAACATGTAAAAGTCGACTGAGACGCATTACATGATTAACAATATCTTCGTTAGTTCCAGTCAATGCAAATTAATCCTTAAAGGAACCGCCATATTCTTTAGTTTGCAAGGCCCTGTAGTACAAACGCCGAAACAACACAGGGATGCTCTATATGAAACAGTTCTCAACCAAGATTTTTATTCTATTTATGGACAATAATGATCTTTTGCGATTTAGCCATTGACCACAGCCATTGATAACTCTATGATGTTTACCTCTAAAACAACCACCTTGAAGCCATGTTTGCCGACCCTAAAGCCTGCATCATTTTGGTAACAGAAACCAGTTATTCCGACAGTCCAGATTCCTATCACGTTCACACAGCCATCGATTCTACTCATGAAACATTCCGTGGGTGACCGTTGCTTTTCTTCGATATTTGCTGAAAGAAAAAAAATGTATAGAAAAACCTTTTAATTTAGTATTTCAGGTCGGATCATCTGTCAAAGATGCAATGCTTATCTGGGCGCCTTAGGCCGTGTTATTGCTCGTTTGTGTGTGAGAGCTGTGTGTGTTTTGTGTGTGCATGCGGTGTGTGTGTATCCTGGAGAGACAGTGGGGGTATCATTGTGTAGTGAAAACGTGAATGTTGATAAAGGGAATATTAGTGTTTCAAGCTTACAATTTTATTGAATAGAAAGAAAATACATGAATAATCGATAATCTGTAGAACAGTATTTTGTATATGGATATTTTTATCCGAATTCTTATTTTGAGTCGTACACAGCTTCATTGGTAAACACAGCATAAAATTACTGACAATGTGGTTTATCACTATTATATCATGTACCTCTAACTTACACTTACCTATATCATGTGATAAAAGAAATGAACCACTTTGAATGAAAATCACGTGACTTACCATCGTCACTGCATCCGTAAATCAGCACGTGATGTAAAAGTTCCAAAGTGTCAACGTAGCCTTTCGTAGCGACCAGATGGTAGTCCATTTCCATATTGACCCCAACATCCTTCAAGTCAATTGCTTGACACATATAAGTTGTCTTTTTGGCGGGAACTGGGGAACTTGAGAGTAGGACATCGACAGAGAAACTTTCTGAAAATGAAAATATAAACAACTCGAGAAATATTTTTTAAAACGCCACTGTTTAACAGAACAGCGAACACAATTAAATAGTGAAGTTTGTGGAATTTTGCTTAAGATAAAACGACTAATTTTTTTTTGCGAACCTGACCTTTCCAGATTTATTATTGGAATATGATTATCAAAAAGCAAATATTATATAACAATAACAGTATATGATTAAAATGTGAGGATTTAACTCACTATATACAGTGTACAGTGTTGGAGCAGTACCTCTAAACAGTTGCAGAAATCATGATCACAAAGTAAAAAAAATGTCCCATTTTTTGCCAATTCGGACAGTTTTCATTCATATTTGTATATAAAACGGAGTAAAAAGATGAATAAAGTGTTTAAAAGTGCATATCGACGAGTAAATTTGCAAAATTTAGTATTTAATCATTTGAGCGCCTTGTTCGGTATATACCGAGATACGGAATTTAATGTGGTGCTCCAACACTTATTTTTTTAAGTCTTCATACTCATACGAGGCTCGTGTGGAAGTTAAAGATGCACTCACCGGCGTCATTATCGATCCCATCGCATTTAAAGTCCATATCCGAGCACGTTTCTAGGAAGGTGTTTTTACCCATGCATTGTTCACTCCCCACGGGCTCACAGATACCTGCCGACGGAAAAGAAATCATGTTAAAAACATTATATTCACATAAAACGAATAGATTATAACACTATTCTGAACACATCGGGCAGATTCAATAATACGGAGTTGTCCGAGAAAGCCAAATTGTTACAATTGTTATTCGGACAGGAAGGAGTTATTTCCCAAAATCATCTGTATCAACTGATTCACAGATACCAAAGTTTGAAAATGATATAATTTGTTGGTTTCTTCACATATACTCAAAGTACCATATACTCAAGGTTCACAGATACACAATGGTAAATTCAAAGGTTCACAGATACACAATATTAGACTAAAGGTTCACAGATACAGAATGGTAGATTTAATGTTCAAAGGTACACAGTGGTAGAATAAAGGTTCACAGATACACAATGGTAGATTTAAGGTTTACATAAACAAATGGTAGATTCATGGTTTACAGATACACAGTTGTGAACTGGAAACGGTCACATAAACATGAGATTCAAAACAGACAGAACCATACTGTTATATGAAAAACATGTTCAAATTAGATCTTAGAGTTATCTTAAAATAAGATAAACATTAATATATTCACAATAACTTTTTATAGAACTTTAAAAAAATCTAACAAGATCTGCCAGAAAGACAGCGCGCTCGACTACTCTTGGTGTTGGTTTCTATGTAAAACAAGCATATGGACACGTTCAATTAACTATTTCAAGTCACATGATTAAAGTGCCCCTGGTCATATTGTTTTTATAATTCATTTACCTGGATGGGAAATATCAGAACCTCTTTGAGAAACTGAGCCTTCATTCCAAACACAGCTTGGATCCCCAAGCTCCTCCCCATTGGTTCTGCCATCGCCATCCGAATCTTTCCTACATAATGTGTCTGTCCATATCTGCAAAATAAAATTCAGAAAACAAGATACAAGTTCAAAGTAAACATAAATATTCTTCAAACAATTTCAGCAGCATTTTACAAATTGATTTATTGAATTATTTATGAGTTCATTTATTAAATTGTTTATGTTTCAGGCGATAACGAAAATGGCTCGCAAGGATACACTTATTCGCAAATGTGGTCCGAGACGCTCATGTATTTCGTCAATCTGATTTCCTTAATTATTATGCTTCGCATGGTATCCGGAGTAAACGGGAAGAGCCGGTGTTTTTACTATTGGCAATTCGCACATGCGGTTCTAGGTTTTACACTTTGTAATTAGCATTTTTGCGATCCCGAAATTTTATTGAAAGTGAATTGATATAATTTAATACGTAATTTATTCAATTTTAATTGATGATGATGATGATAAAGATGATGATGATGATTATGATGCTGATGATAAAATAATAATAATAATACAAAATGTAAAAATAAAATAATAATAAATAAATATAATAATATATATATAATAAATATAATAATATCATTGATGATGATAGTGATTATGATGATGATGATGATACTAATACTACTACTACTACTCCTACTCCTCCTCCTCCTCCACCTCCTCCTCCCTCCTCCCTCCTCACTTCTCCTCCTCCTCCTACTTATAACAATTACAATAAAGTTTGGGATAGCAAGCAATTGCATTGGTTTCTTGCAGTAAGGATACTCATGTCACGCGGCATATATTCATTATAACCAGAACCCAGAAGCGGAACAATCCTCTAAAGGAGAAACAAAATTGAATAGAATAAAGATAAAAAAATCAATACTTACGTAACCTTGACCTGCAAAATCAAGTCCAAATGGATTCCTTTTGCCTCCGCCGCCTATCGCTTCATGACCAACACCCAGCCAGTTTCCATCGGGGTCGCATGGATTTGTGACATTGAAACCATTCGGAATTCTTTCTCGAAAATTTGGGTAGCTGTGTACTTGATACAGCACACATATCGCAGCAAAAAGCCTCAGTCTGTAAGTGCACATTTTTGAATTGTTTTATACATGTTCCATACCTCGATGGTCATCAAGTGATGGTTAAAGACGGAACACCATAAAAAGCCATCACTTAAGAATGATTATAATATTCTGAAACATCTTTAACGGTAAAACTTAACGTGTAACAAAATCAAAGTAAAACGTTAACATACCGTCAATACTTAGAGAGTATTGAATGAACCTAGGTTCTTTAATGAATTTATTGAAGTTTTTTACTGAATTTATTGTCAGATTTTGAAAACAATTTTAAGAATTTCGATTATTTTCTTAGCTCGATGACAAAAAGAGAATATATAATAACAAAAAAAGAATCTTTATTTTGTTTCATTAACGCGCCTATACTGTAACACTAACATCTAGAACGACTTGACGCTATCTAGATATGTTCAACGCATATGTGACGTCATGTCAAAACATCGTTTTAAGGCACAGGTATGTCGTAAAATGCATTTAAACTGACTTTTAATATTCATTATATCGTAATGGGGCGTATTTATTTGTAGTCTGGACTACCAGCCCTTTTCTCTCTGTACTACATTTCAAAGTGTGGAAATTCTTTATCGCAGTTTCGAAATTTTAGAATTTTCATCGTCGTACAAATCATATTAAAAAACACAAAATAAAACGACTACAATAAACTGAAAATGCCCTCACCTCAAACAATAAAATGTTTGTGTTAAAATTGTGTATATTGATTAGCAGTGTTTTCTTATTTTAATAATATCAGTGGTTTGTATCGAATAAAATCAGTAATTATAGATAAAAATTGCACTGCCGAAAATTAAATATTTCAAAAAGCAAATCCATGGAAACATTTACTATAACTCATGTACATCAGATATGTTCATCATTAAAAAACATTGACCAACACAGATTATAATCAAAATCATGTTTCTAAAACAAAATCGGGTCTCTAAAAACGTCGCTATCGGTTCGTTTAAAAGAGAAAATAAATGGTAACATGTACAATAACTGTCTGTGCATACGATACAACTCTCATATCAAACCTGTTTTACATAATTAAACATGATTACTTAATCATAAGACATTTCCGTTTCCTGAATTTCTGACATGTGTAAGCTAGTGGCATCAACGTCCTTGCCTGTGCCTTGTTGAACCAGCGTTGCTTTCCTCATACCATTGACGGGCGTAGAAGTGTTCCACATGTTGCTGTAGTTTGGTTGTTTAGACTCAGATTGTAATGCATTTCACATACTGATTTTGCCTGATCCATATGCTGATCATGTATTGGCATATCTGTGTTTCGAGCCGATGATGAAGGTTGAAGGTTAACAAACGTGTTTCCGTGTCGAAAGTTACTTTGTTGTGCAGTCATGTTATCATTAGCGTTTTGATTGATGAAAGTCTGCTGTTTTCGTCGTTGTTGCTGTTGCTGCATCTGTGAAAGCTCTTTACTTTACATAGAACATCTCTGTACAAGGTCAAAGCTTTCCTGATAAAAATTGTCAACCAAGAGCTATAAAAAGACTCGGAGAAAGTTCCAATCCAGGATCCCCACAATTGCTGTGCAGACGCTTGCGCTGCCGACAGTAGACTTTGTATATGCGATTGTAGTTGTTTGTTATCAGTCAATTACTCGGTTAATTTAGCCATCACCGTATCTTTTGACTGGACTTGGTGACGAGTTGATTTTTTTTCTTTTTGATGTTATTAGATGATTTACCATTAACATCTTGTGAGCTATCATTGTCCTAAATATACAGTGAATAAACGGTTAGATAATTAAACGAATGCTTCATAACTTTATGTCAGTTAATAATAATAATATAAATTTTTTATTATCCTTGATTAAGATAGATAAACCAAACAAAAGGTTTTAGTAAATCCTCACAGTTATAGATCATGGGTCGGTGTCCATGTGACAGTACAATACTAATTACCGGGGAAGTTTTATTTTAAAAAAAAAAACGTTTTATTTTATTAAATCAGTAAAACAATGATTAAATGTCCTTATTTTGTTATATGCCAATGAAGAATCATTGTTCAATGTTAATAATAATTTTATAATATAAATTGACAACATTACATACTGAAAGCTCATCGCGCTCGCCGTTTGATGATTCTTCTCCAGAGTCGAGTGGTTTCGGTGGTGTTTCCATATTTGTTTCACCATCTTTTTATATAGGTAGGTTTTCATCTGAGGAATAAAAATGGATATATATCATGTTCTGCAGCAACTACACACATATATAAGTTTACTTTAATTAGAAATACTATTCGTCACTGTCATGTCCGATGTAAAAAGCTTGAGTTTTAATCGATTGAGTACGTTTTTCAAATTTTATTTCAGGTGACAAGTTAACAACTAGTGGTTATGTTCATGAGTTACAATACAATCATATAAAACACAATGAAAATAACTTACGCTTACAGCATGCCTCGACGGCATTCTCGAAATATAAGTTTTGAGAAACTCGAAATTTCTCAGAATGAATTTCTCACTGTCTGTCAGCTTCTTAGCACAAGGACCACTTGTAGCGTTTGTTAATTTTAAAAATTTGGTTCTTATTGATTCATACCATGTATAAAAAGCTTTCTTGTCGACGTTCAGCTCGTCTGCCTTTGTTTGCCATGGCCCATTTTCCATTGCAATCTTTTCTAAATTATGTCCTCCCTTTGACGAATAAAAGTCATGATTTTTTAACCAATCTACTAAAGCCTCTTTCTTTTCCTCAAACAGTAAAAGAGGGAGAGAAGTCTTTTGGCAGTTTTACTGGAGCCCTGGTCATTAATTTCATCTTCCTGTGTAGGATATTTGTCCTTTTCCTCATGACAATATGGTCTGCTGTTTTTGTCGACTGGCGCCTCAGTATTGTAGGTCGCTTAAGAAGAAGACCTTTTACGCTTACCCTACCCTTCGGTGACATGGTGAAAAATGATGACTGCTGTCATATAAAATAACAATTATGTATCAACGTCATCATTTTCGCGCGCTTTCAATCCACCTGGGTTCAACCGGGGCTCTGCCGGGATCGTCCTGGGCTCTGTCGGTGCTCTGCCGGGAACGACCGAGGAAGCACCGGCATGAACCGTAACTTCACCTGGGCTCTGCTCGGATGGTCTGGGTTGCATCCTGGGTGATAGTTAGGAAATGCCTTTATGTTGACGGGGTAAATGTGACCGTAACAACAATTTCATTCCGGATCATCTCGGTAACTTACCGGGGTGATCCTGGGCGCTACCGAAAGAAAGTGAGACTGCAGCTTAAAGGGAAAGACAAGGTTAGAATAAAAACTTGATTTCAGAAAAAGAATACTATAAATAAGAAATCTGCAAATTTTCTGCCGCCTTGTAATAATATTTAACGAATGATAACAAAATTTAAATCGCTAAATCACCGATTTCTACAAATTAGTAGGCGCGGCCATGTTTGTGTATTGGCCGTAATAAAACAGGTGCGCGTGACGTCATTTCCCCACATCTTTAGATTTATGATAAATCTAATTGAATCGTAGCGAAATATTAATATAATAAAGTATTGACCAAAAAAATAAATAAAAAAATAAAATAAAGAAACAAATAAAAAATCACGTCTACCGGTCGCACCACTCCAGGCAAGTGATGCCCGTTACTCCAAACAATGCTATGTTCACTAAAGTCTCATCTTAATGTAATTAAACAATATTTCACAGATGTAATAAATACACATGTTATTATTTAACAAAGTTTCACAATCTAATAATGCAATTAAATAAACAAACGCACCAACGAATATTGGCTGTTAATTATTGAACGGCGATAATTTTAATTATCATTATTATAAAAATCCTACTAAAACGTGTTCTTAAAAGTACATGTAATTAAAGTTTTGCAGTTTGATTCTGACGTTCAAATTAAAAGGTGTGAACATATGTTATAATTGATGTACACATTTCCGAAATATAAGCAACTCTTTTGAAAAGTAAATTGTTAACATGTCTGTTAACGTATGATGCTGCGTGGTATTTATTTACATCGTAATCATAGCCTAATATTAACTGCAGTCAAAACATTTTTATTGGCTGCTCAAAAGTCTAATTTGCATAATTTATTCACACAATTGCTGGTTCTAATTACTTATGTCTAATACTGTGCATTATCCGTTTTAATTGTTCCTAATTTGCACCAAATGTTCCTGTCACACTGTGTACTGACGATTTTTATTGCTCATTGTATGCCTCTGTGCCGACAGACCTTTTGATCATGCACAATGTTACCCTGATTGGTTAATCACCCTTGTCAAATATTCTAATGACGAAATGGTAATCTATTTTTTACGCACCATCAGTGAACTGAATGACTTTAGGGTAAATTATGTTCCACATCGTAAATTACAGCATTTCATAAAATAGCAACACATTTTTTTTTCAGTTACCAATAATCATTTTAAATATTCAGTAGGTTTATGATTTTTTGTTTCATTGGATTAAATTTACGGTAGAAAAAAATGCGTATCTGTGTGGGAAAGGGATTGGGTAAGTAGATAGTGTAGAAAAAAGCTATAGGGAACTGGATAAACCCGAAAATATGCGTTATTACAAGGGAATGGGCAATCTGTTGCTGTTGGTACCAGTTTTGACTGGGTGCCTAAATAACCTAACGGACAGTTTTGTTTTCATACGATATTTGTCTGGCTGCCGATTTTCCTGCGCCATTCTCATTTTTAGCGTCAATGGCGGAAAATCGCGTCCTCAGCAGATCTCTGCATATTAAATTTTGTTGATATTTAACGTTGAAAAAAGATTCATGACCAGCTTGTCTAGCGAAAATTAAGTACAAAATAAAAGGATATTTCAGCTGTACCAGCGTGTACACCTATACCGGAAGTGGGTGTAACACGTCACAATCTCGGTCTCGTTTGTCTCGCGAGAATGACAGAACGCCAAAATGGCGGCGCCCGTGAACTTAGGGGGCAGGGGACCTAAAAACGAAAAATTTTGTATTTCAGTGTGACCAGAAACACAATTCCAAACATTTCAAAATCTGTTTCACAGGCAGATAACCAGTTGCACAGCATTATTCAATGATATATGACATACATTGAAGAAAATAATAGTTTGCATGCATTGCTCCTTCAAAAAATGACTGACAGCAATTTATATGTACCCCTACTCAGCCAAAATCACATCTAAAATATACCAATATGGGCAATCTTCATGAAGGTGCAGCATACTCCAGAATCCGCCCGATTCCTTTAAAGATATCAGTTACACGCAGTGCAAGCTATAGCATTTTCAGAAATGACAAATAAAGTGTTTGTCATACGTTTAGATTTTTCACAAAATTTATCTGAAATTTCTTGCTTGTTTGGCGCCAACTGTCAAAGCTTGATTTTTAACTTTTTCACCTCCATTCGGAGAGTCAGAAATACATACAAAGCTACCAAAATGCTTAGTTTCGGGTAAAAACCCAAAAAAATATCTCATTTCCTACACACAAACAAGAAAGAATTACAATGATAGAGAAATATCAGAAGTTATCAGTATCTTCAAAACACCATTTCTGAGTTTGACCGGGGCCATCATTCGAATATGTCCCCTGTCCCAATTATTTCTCAAGTAAAAAATAGTGTCTTAAAACAAGAATTTCTCACTTATAGGATTGATGTCAACAGAAAAAGTGTCATGGTACCTCTTTTTAAATGATGAATATTTATATTAGACAGACATCAATCCATCCATTCCTATTCCTTTAATCAAACTGGTTAATATTTTAATTTAAGATTTAAATCTTCATTGATAATAGTGCCGTAACATTGCTTACCTTAAATCAACCATCTTTCCTTTTCTTTAGGAAAATCCCTTTCAGACGCTTAACGTAACATAAATTCCGTCTGCTTTGAAATAGCTCTAGTGTTATACCTAAAAGTCTCGGGTGGATTCACACTCAAGAAATAAAAAGAAAATAATATCCAATTTTAAAACAGGATACATGCTAATTTATCAATTTTGATCGTTTAACTTCTTACTCAGTAGTGCGTGAATATTCATGTGTAATCTTTTCCGAAAAAAAAATAGTATTTCAAAATAACTGAAATGTGACATCTTTCATTGAAAAAGAATGGATATATAGGTTTGAAAATTTAACAAAATTTATATAGATGTTTTAAAGAAGGTATACGAATAGAAGTTGGATATAATATCCTTTTAAATACAGTAGTTTACTTTTAAAGGCACCGCTTTATTGCACGTAATTCACGAAGAACTAAATGAGTGGTTACACCATTCGGAAACTGGTATATAATTAAAATGATTAGATCTGAATAGAAAATAATATTGCAGTTGAATAAATAGAACAACACGATTTTTTTATGTAAGATTTGTTTTAAAATTTGTATTTTGAAGAACAAAAATGCTAACAAATCTGTTATTCTGATCAAATTCATAACAAAAGAAAATTTTTTCGTTGGTCCAAGCATTAAATGTGACCCTATTTATTCTCTTTGTCCAAATGATCAGTATGTGTCGGGAAACAGTTCAATACTGACCTTTAAAAATCACCTTTGTGTGTGAGCGCATGCAGCAGTTTAAATTAACAACGATTCATGATTGATGGCTCCTTTTCATCGGAAAAAAAGGTTGAAAAAGATAAATGTTTGGGTTTAGGATAAATGCGCTGTTTTTGTGTCGCCTTGATTAGGGGCTACCTTTGTCGGCGGCGTCGTTGTCCGTGTCGGCGTCGTTGTCGGCGTCCCTTAAAGCTTGTCCGGAGCATAACTCAGTCACTATAAGTCTGATTGACTTCAAACTTGGTATGCATGCTTCTTACAGTAACCTGAAGAGCAGTGTACACGAACCGGTATTCTGCATTTCTTAATTTTTGAGTTATTGCCCTTTGTTAATTTTCATACTTAAATTTTGTCCGGGCCATTTCTGTTCAAATATAGAAGCTAAGGACATGAAACTTCATACTAGGATGATAGATCTTATTAAGAAGAAATGCAGTGCACAAGAACTGGTACTCTGCACTTTCTTATTTATGAGCTATTGCCCTTTGTTTATTTTCATACTTAATTTTTGTCCGGACCATTTCTCCTAAAGTATATAAGCCATGGACTTGAAATTTCATAAAATGATAGATATCATTAAGAAAAAATGCAGTGTATAAGAACTGGTTCTCTGCATTTCTTAGTTTTTGTGTTATTGCCCTTAAATAATTTTCATACTTTATTTTTGTCCGGGCCATTTCTCCTAAAGTAAAAAAGTTATGGACTTGAAACTTCATAGGATGATAGATCTCATAAAGAAGAAGTACAGTGTATAAGAAATGGTACTTTGCTCTACCTAATTTTTTGAGTTATTGCCCTTTGTTAATTTTCATACTTTATTTTTGTCAAGGTCATTCTCATAAATTATAAAAGCTATGGACTTGAAACTTAATAGGATAATAGATCTTATTTATAAGAAGTACAGTGCTAAAAAAACTGCTTCTCTGCGCTTCTTATTTTTTGAGTTATTGCCCTTTGTTAATTTTCTTGTCCTGGCCATTTCCCTAAACTATTTTGTTCAGAAAGCGACACATCCAACTGGCGGTGTTCTAGTTTAGATGAGAAAAGGTTGCCAGATTTTATTGAATATTTCTACATTATCTTTTTTATAACGCTCTTATTTGTACAAGTTCAATATGTGATTTTAATTTAGTTATAAATCGTTCAAATTTTGGGATCATTGATTTGAATTTACATTTGTATATGTGGTATTTTGAAAGTTAGAATATAAATTTGACTAATCTATAATGTTGGATATACATTAAACTAAAGTTAAATGTTGAGAACGTTCAAAGTTATCATTTTTAAAACTATCAGTCTGAAATCAACGGATATTCAATAACCATATTGGCCACAAATCTTTCTTAGAAATTCGCACGGTCGTCATATGAATAATTGATTGACGCTCAGGGAGGATTTTCTTATAACTTCATTGAGGGATGGACATCTTTATTTGACTTTTTAATAAATTTATTAATAAACATCCATAACTGGTTTATTTTGTAATAAATAGATGAACTATCACGATTAGATTCTCCTACAATCGCCTGGATAGACGTCAACAAATGTTTTTTTGAATGGATAGCCACCTACGATTAACTTTCTTACAAATTCATGGATAGAGGTTCACGACTGATTTTCTCATCAATTCATGGATTGATGTCTACTACTGAATTTCTCGAAAACTCATGGATGGATGTCCACAATTGATTTTTTTTCAAATTCATGGATGGACGTCCTCGACTGATTTTCTTTCGAATTCACGGATGGACGTCCGTGACATTTTTTTTCTTATTAATTCATGGATGGATTTCCACTACTGATTTTCTTATAAATTCATAGATCGACGTCCACGATTGATTTTCTTATAAATTCATGGAATTACGTCCACGATTGATTTTCTTTTAAGTTTATAATTGGATGTAAACAATTGGACTATTAAAATTTATGGCTAAACACCTTAAATTGGCTTAAGTATAAATTAGTTGAATGTTCATATTGATATCTAATCAACAACTAGATTAAAAATTTGTTGATCAACGTTCATATCTTATTATTCTGTTATTAAGTTAAATCTAAGTTATGGCTAGATGTGCACATACGATTTCTTTGTAAGTTAATGATGGGACGACCGCAAATCTATTCCTTTAAAGTAATGGATATACACCAACAATTGGTGTTCTGTTAAAATAATGGGTGGACGTCTATTTCCCATTATTACCGATTATTACCGATGTTATAATAAATTCTTAGGTTGTCTTCAACAGACCCAAAGACTGGCGTCCACAACAATTTTTTTTTTTATTTCAAAGTGTTGAACGTCTTCAACATATTTTCTGCAAATAATGGATGGACATCTACCATTGTTTTTCTTACATTCATCGATGGAGGTCTATCATTTATTTTCTCTTATAATGCTCCACGTTTGTAACATCGCTTTTCATTGGATAATCGTGACGTTTATATAGTTTTATGTACACGGCTTTGTCGATTCATAAATAAATCTTACTTTTTTCTCTAAAAAATGATGCCTACTGTATTATGAATTCGTTATAAAGATTGCCTAGCGGCTCGGGTTATATTAACAAAAAGCCGTTTATATAGGGCCATATAACCTGTCAACAATCTTTATAACTAATTTTATAATACTGCACGTTTGTAACGTCGCTTTTCATTGGGTAATCGTGACGTTTATATTATTAGTTATAAAGATCGTTGACAGGTTATATGGCCCTATATAAACGGCTTTTTGTAAATATAACCCGAGCCGTTAGGCGAGGGTTATATTGCAAACAGCCGTTTATATACGGCCATATAACCTGTCAACAATCTTTATAACGAATTTATAATACAGCAAGCATCATTTTGTGGAGAAAAAGTAAGATTTCTTCATGAATCGACAGCAGCCGTGTATATAAAACTATATAAACGTCATAATTATCCAATGAAAAGCGACGTTATAAACGTGCAGTATTATAACGTTAGTTATAAATATTTTGACAGGTTGTATGGCGCTATTTAAACGGTTGTTTGTAAATATAACCCGAGCCGCTATGCGAGGGTTATATTGCAAACAACCGTTTATATAGGGCCATATAACCTGTCAGAAATATTTATAACGACTTTATGATACAGCAAGCATCATTTTTAGAGGTATTTCTTTCTTATTCGATAGCAGCTGTTTATATCTTAAACTATATAATCGTCACGATTATCCAATGAAAAGCGACGTTACAAACTCGCAGTGTTATAAAATTTCATAAACACGGCTGCCGTCGATTTATAAAAAAATCTCGCTTTATTTCTCTAAAATGGATGCTTGTTGTATTAAAGATTCGTTATAAATATTTCTGACAGTTTATATGGCCGTATATAAACGGTTGTTTGTAATATAACCCTTTTCTAGCGGCTCGGGTTCTATACAAGCAACCGTTTATATAGGGCCCTATAACCTGTCAGGAATATTTATAACTTATAATATTCACGGATAGACGTCTGCAATTTATTTTTTTTATTCATGGATGAATGTTTACAATTTAATTTTTTATATTCATGGATGGTCGTTTACAACTGATTTTCTTATATTCAAGGAAAGAGGCCTTCAATTGATTTTCTTATATTCATGGTTGAACGTCTGCATTTGATTTTCTAATTTTGATGGATGGACGCTTACAACTAATTTTCTTATAATCATGGATGGACGACTGCCATTAATTTTTTTTATATTCATGGATAAACGTCTACAATCGAATATCTTATATTTACGGAGGAACGTTCTAAAGGAAACTTCTACAATTTATTATGTTGCACTCCCACAACCATATTCTCTATGACATTCAATGGCGAACATTATATTATTTTTATTAATTTCTGAATGATCCAAAACAATTTAAAAATAGGGGTTAGGGTGATATCATACTTTTTCCTATCGCAATAGATAAATTATCACTGGTTTTCTTAAGAACTGCTTGATAGATGTCCACAACTTTTTTCTAAAAAGTATGTTAGATGGACGTTTACAAATGTAATTTTTCTTACAAAGAAAGCAAATAAAAATAACATCAAGTAAAAAAAAGCAATCTTTTGAACACTTTTCATTTTAAGAATATTGTGTAAGAAGTAGATTTTTCAATAGAATCTTTATCACCATTATCTTTTATTTCCAATGCTCTCTAAAAATAAAACTTGTAAAATACTTTGGCTAATCAGTCATAAAATATTGATATGTATTAAGATAGTCCAGCACGCAAATAAATACGGTGTTTTTTATATAGAGATAAGGGCTATATCACTAATACACGCATATTTTTTGATCTATTGATTAAATGTCAAGTTCCTGTGTAAATACTGATTTTAAAGACAGTATTTTGTGTGGATTTTTTATGAAGTGATCTTTAAAACAATGTTGACCGTATTGTAATAAAATAAAAAGTCATTTGAATTAGCAGG